GCAACACCAGCTAGCCTGAGAAATTTTGCTCGTGACTATACTCGTTACATTGTGCTGGTCGTTTTTATAATGAGCAGATCGTTGGTTATGTTGTTGGGGTCTGGGGACGCGCATTGGCCACTTCACGGCCGTATTCGCTTGCGGTGTTGGAGTTGTTGTTGGTTTTGATAACTTTTCGACTCTTATGGAAAAGTAAGTGTTGCTTCCAATTAATGTTCGGCTTGTTGTGGTTGCCAAGCTTTGTTCATTAAGGGGTTATATACCTTTTTGAGCGAAAAAAATGAGGGAACTTTGGATTTTTTTTCAGGTGTGTAGCAATTATTTTATGATAGTGAGGTTATTATTTATTAATAGTACATGTTTTTATAGACACAACAAATGTTTGTTCTTAAAAAAATATAAATAACTTTCGAAGTTATGGCAATTCTCTCAAAACCCTTTTTTTTATATAGCGGCTTGCGGTGACCACGATGGAAGTCCAGCGGGTCAACTGAGATCAATAAACCAAAAAATTTTTATTAGTTTAGTATTATTTCTAGTTCGTCATTGAATTACTTCAAGAATATTTGGTTTTTTCTGCATACAGTAACAATTTTTCCAAAAAGTTGATTTTTCGAGATCTAAAAATTTTATTAAAAAATTCTTATCTGCAAAATCGAAATTGGCGCATAAAAACTGATTCAATGACGAACTCGGCACAATCATTACGAATATTTAAAAAAAAAATTGAAGAAGATCGATCAAATAGTTCTTGTGCATTCGCGGTCGTAGCAAAGGCACTTTTGGAAAAAAACGACTTTGAGATAATCGCATTCAAAGTTTTACGTTGCGTTACAAAGAATGACGAACCGCGCCTCAAAACCCTGTTTTCCTATCGAACTATTATTCGGATCTCTTCAAAAATTTGGGAAAATGTTCTCTAGGGGATATACTTTAGGATTCAGCTAAAAAAAATTTTTCGTTTTTTTGAAAAAAAAAGGTATATAACCCCTTAAGGCTCTATGTTACAGAGCATCCGCTCTTACACGTTGGCTTTATTTGTGACAAACTGTTTTATATTATACTAGTTGACCCGACAGACTTCGTCCTGTCAAAAAGATTTGTTATGTGGCAGTTTTTGTGCCTACGTATTTAAAAAAAATCTCCTAAACAGAACTGTCACCCTGTAATAGGGCGTTGTGAATAAAAAATAATTAAATAAAACATATATAAGGATTTAAAAGTAAGTAATCGCTTTATTGTTAATCATTTGAATCATAATTATTATTATTATCATTGTAGTGCTTGGTGGTATACGATGTTTTTTGTTTGATTACCTGGCGCTTAGATAAACAAATCTGATGGTTTTCCAACACGGGAACAGGCAACATACAATTGACCATGTGAGAAACATGGGTTCTCTAGATTAATACCACAAACACTTAATGATTGCCCCTGGGACTTGTTTATAGTCATAGCAAAAGCAAGCCGCACTGGAAACTGTAGTCGTTTAAACTCAAATGGCACATTAGTCGGAATCATTGGGATGCGCAGTATGAGAACATCTTCTCCTTTATACTTTCCTTTGAGTATAGTTGCTTCTATCACATTGTTTAGTAATTTTTTTTATTGCTAACCGTGTACCGTTTCAAGGATGCGGTTGGTTGATATTTCGCAACATTATAACCACCGATCCAACCTTTAATTGAAGATTGTGAGGTGGCAAACCTGGCAAATTCAGCGAGTTTAAAAATTCCGGTGGATAGATGACTACATCATCTTGATTAGTAGCCGAATCAACTGATTTATATATCCTCAATTCGCCTGTAATTTGTTCTTGAATTTTGAAATTTAATTCATTCACATCTATGTTTTTTGCAGCCAGTATAGCTCGTTCGCTCAACCAATCATGGTTTCTGTAATTTTGAGAAACATCTGGAAACACCTTCTGAATAAGTTCATCTTTTGATCGTATTAACTGACAAAAACTTTGAGGAAAGTTAATGCAGCCAGTCAACATGTCTATAGGAAATTTGCCATTACCAATGTCAATGAGTTGTTTAGAAAATATGTTTCCAGATTGGTAATTTTGCAACTCGACACGCATATTCTTGCTTAAATGAAGTACCTTGACATGTTTCCACAAATTGGAGGACTTTAGACATGCATTGAGTTCATCAGCTGGCGTTGATCGTGGAATCACTGGCAATGTTTGACGAAAGTCTCCTCCTAATAAAATCATTGCACCACCAAATCGGTAATTATTGCTGCGTAGATCTTTTAAGGTTCTGTCTAAAGCCTCCAAAGATTTTTTATGTGCCATCGTGCATTCATCCCAAACAATCAATTTACAGTGCTGCAAAACCTTTGCCATTGCAGAGTTATTCGAAACGTTGCAGGTTGGAGTTTCATTGCTTTGCATATTTAATGGCAATTTTAGTGCTGAATGGGCTGTTCGGCCACCTTCAAGCAAAGTTGCTGCGATTCCCGACAAAGCGAGTGCAAGTCCAATTTTATTTTGTGAGCGAATTGTTGCTAATATTAATAAAATCAAAAAAGTTTTTCCTGTACCACCAGGTGCATCTAAGAAGTAAATCCCTCCAGTTTTATCATTTGTTACTTTCATAAGAGTTTCAAATACATACTTCCGTTGTTTATTTAACAGTGGAAGATTTGTTTGTGATATCCGAATTCTTTCTCGTTCAATTCCATCGTCACGTTCTTGTGCACTACGATTAGTTCGGTAATTAGCTTGGTTTGTAGCATTTCTGGTTCTTCCACCTAAATTTCTTCGTCTTATAGGAGGCATTATTTTTCACAAATCACTAATTAAACACTCGGCACAAAACACGATATACGAATTTGTTTTGTGTATTCGTTGACAAAAAAAAAAAAAAGCATGACTACGTTTTAGTTACAAATCATTTGTATGGGAAAAAGAAATGGTCTATTTTTATGGTTTTTCCAGCAATAATTCTAATTCTTTTTTTTTACAAACCATCCTTGAACTTCAACGAACATTTTAAAAAAAGATTTAGCCAATTTGGTCCAGGCGTTGTTGAGTTATGCGCTTACCAACACATTTTGCGTTCCATTTTTATATATAAGATTACAAAACGTGTTTTAGTCTTTGACGACATTACGGTGCTCTAGCCTTTTTTTACGAGCCTGGAAATTTACTCGTAGAATTCCCCGAAAAGATCCAAGCTGTGCTTGGCGGGTAACTCGACAGAATAGTCCCAAGCAGGCAAGCGAGTGAAGTTTTTAACAAAACCTACCCTACAGTATAGCTCTTTCTGTAACCTTCCTATAACCTCACGAAAATTAAACAGCCAAGACTAACCAAGTTATTCGAATGAAGGGAAATCCTAGCAGAAACTTTATTTGACCGTCAAAAAACTTTAAAAGAGATCTTGGCGCAGTGGGCGATGGCAATCTCGGCCGCAGTGAAATGTTTTATTCCAACCATCTGACTCTAAATTATAATCGAATATTCCAGTTGCAGAAACATCCGACAAAGAACCAAAACTTCATAACGATTTTTTACCAGGGACCGTAATCATTATAAGTAATATTTTAAAAATTACTTTGTAATGATTACTTATCGATTTTTAATTTTTTAAATCAAGACTAATAATTATTTTTGAGCAAAAAAAATAAAAATCACAAATAATCATTATTTTTGAGCAAAAAAAATAATAAAAATCAGAAATAATGATTATTTGTGATTTTTATTTTTTCGCTCAAAATAAAACTCAACAAGCAACAACTTTTGATCCTTTAAGGATATTACCAATATTGTCCTATGTCCTTATAAAGGGACCCTAGAGCAACAATTGACAACAACAACAACAACAATAAAATGTATTTTACCTGTGCTTGTTGCAATTATTTAATATAAGGTCAACTGTTTTTTTTTCGGCAGGTTCGTCTGCCTGGATGTTATCGATCTCAGCTTCATACTCCGATTTATGCTTAGTTTGCATATGCCGCTTCATGTTGCTCACGTACTCGCCAACTAACGTAAATTTGCAAATTTTGCACTCCGAAACATTATTTCCCGCGTGGAAATTAAAAAAATTGCGGAGAACAAAATTTCGCTTGCGACCCATATCGAAACTAGAAATGTCACGAATATTCGGCTAGTATTCGGTATTCGGCCTATTTGGTCACTTTTTTTGGTATTCGGTATTCGGCCGAAAAAAACACATCACTTTTATCAGAACTTCTTTTTATTATCAAATTAAAATATGTCAATAAATAAAATTAATACGCGGTTGTTGTCAATTGTTGCTCTAGGGTCCCTTTATAAGGACATAGGACAATATTGGTAATATCCTTAAAGGATCAAAAGTTGTTGCTTGTTGAGTTTTATTTTGAGCGAAAAAAATAAAAATCACATATAATCATTATTTTTGATTTTTTTTTTTGCTCAAAAATAATAATTATTTGTGATTTTTATTTTTTTTGCTCAAACATAATGTTTAACAATAGAAGAATAAATATAAAAATTAAAAATTAAAAATCATCAAGGATATTCATAGTGTATCCTTAAAGAATAAAAACGTGCTAGTCATGCTTGTTCTATGTTGATTGGATGTGATTGATTTATTCATTTGAAAATAGCGACAATAATCATTATTTACGGTCCCTGTTTTTTACTAAAACTTTTACCAACAGCATAAAACTCATTACTAAAACCCTGGGCGTATAGGTTGCAATGGCCGTCTACAAAGTTCAGCTTTTTCCAAAAGTCGAAACTACGTCGAAGAAGGCTGGGTCATCACTTTTATACATTAAAGTTGATATTGCATTCTTATTATTTAAATGTATATATTGTCCTTTAAAATAAGTTTGCTTTAACTGCAAGGGTAAATAATTTTTTTGCGCTTTTCATTTGGACAGCCTTGAAGTAAAAATTTTTTTTTTTTTTTTGTGGACTCTTTTAGTCACAATATTTTGTTTTAAAAATTATAATTGTTAAAGATACTATTCTGTTTAAAACACTCTTGTCTTGACAGCATGCCACGAACTGTATAACGGCTACCGAGCAAAATTTTTAACCATTGTGTACTGGATAGCAGCGACCTATGTTTTGGCCGATATTTACTCGGCCCAGCTTACCAGTCAATTTGCTCGACCCGCTCACGAGCCACCCATCAACACGCTTCAGCGCCTCCAAGCTGCCATGATTCGTGATGGATACAGACTTTATGTGGAAAAGGAGAGCAGCTCTTTGGAAATGCTTGAAAATGGGACTGAGCTTTTTCGGCAGCTTTACGCTCTAATGCGACATCAGCAGTCTGGTGGCCAACAAGGGTTTCTTATTGACTCGGTGGAAGCCGGTATTCAACTGATTGACGAGGGTGGAGAGGATAAGGCTGTCCTGGGAGGTCGCGAAACTCTTTACTTCAACACTCAGCAATATGGAGCTAACAACTTCCAGCTCAGTCAAAAACTATACACCCGGTACTCGGCGGTGGCCGTGCAAATCGGGTGCCCTTTCCTAGAAAGCCTAAACGATGTGTAAGTTATACCAAAATCTTTGAATATTTATAAATAGGTTAAAGATAGGAATTGCAAAAAATATTTGCACAATAAATAAAAAAAGGTAAAAAAAATTTTAAGTTAAACCGTTTTATGTAAAACATGTAATAAATGTACTAAAAGCCTAAAAATAATATAAAATAGATACAGACGTGGGAATTATGCTTAGACTAGACTAAAATAAAACCGTTGGTTTCGACGGTATTTTCACCCATCAAAAAATAATGTTTGATCAATACCCGAAATTCGTCTTTTTCCATTTTTCTCGGAGTTGCAAAAGTTGCTTTACTCACGCGGATATAATTTGCGAACGGATTGTCCAATTTTTTTTCAAATTTTTGTATGTTTCGTTTAAATGCTTGTACCCAATAGGAAAAATATTGAAACAATTTTAGTGGCGCCCCCTATATATCAGTCCCGGGACTTATCAGCCGGCCTAATACATCTGTTGCATACATCTGAGTTCGACGAAATTGAGGCCAAACGATTTCGTTGATGTAGCCTATAGCGCCATTTACTAATCCCTTCGAAACGTCAAAATTGGACCGTAGCATGACTTTTGCCCCCACAAATATTTCTAGTTCTGCTGGTAAACCTCCAGTTTCTATCAACTTCACTAAAGAACGTTTTGCTTTATAAATTAATAAATATTATTTTAACATATTGTGAATCTTAACCATCCTCAAACCCCCTGGAATACACACAAAAAATTTCATCAAAATCGGTCCAGGCGTTGTTGTTACCAACACATTTTGCGATTCATTTTTATATATAAGATTTAGCTTACCCCGTTTGTTGTCAGATTGATCTGAATTAATCTGATGTGTTTGGCAGTGACAATGATACCCATGTTGATGGGATTGATAAAACCTAAGTTATCCGCCATTTCGCAGAGGCCACCATCTTGAATTTTAATTTTATATAGTACATTGTATTCTACTTGTTGAGACCTTTCATTTGATACCTGTAGGGACAAGAGCGTTTTCTTGCCGGGGGTGTATTTGGGCGGTGTGATTATTAGCGAATTAGCGATTTTGATTAATAAAAACTCGGGAGTTGCGAATTGCGTGTGTTCCAAACGATTGACTTTTTAATAATGCCATTTTCGTGCCGGCGCAGCGGCCGACTCGTGGTGAATGCAAGAATGCAAGAATACAAAGAATGCAAAAATGGTGAATACAAGAATGTAGAGATAATACGCGGGAGATTTAAATACATTTCAAAGGTTTATCGAAACTAATGTAAGTTTTAATAGAGATGTTTCTGCGATGACCCAACATCCCGGCCCCATTGAAATTACACTCGTGAATTTCAACAGACAGGTAATAGTGCCAGCTTATGTATAGGACGCCTGATGATGCCCTTGGATGTGCGAACGTCAGCCACTCTAACTCGACGATCCTTGCCTGACGTAGTAGCTTCAACTCGACCCATTATCTAGCGTTGTGGGACCACGTTGTCTTCATGGACGATGACCATGCTTCCAATGGCAACGTTATCCATCGCCTTGTTCCAGCTCGATCGCATCTGCAGCTCTGCTACGTACTCGTGGACCCATCGCTGCCAAAAATGTTGCTTTATTGCGCTGACTCTTCTCCAACGCTCTAAGTTGTCGATGTTTTCGCCTTCAGAAGGGTCTTGAGGCAACGCACGCAAGGAATTTCCTACGAGGAAGTGACCTGGAGTGAGGGCCTCCAAGTCGTTTGGGTCGGATGATAGTGGCGTTATGGGTCGCGAATTTAGGATCGCTTCGATGTCGATAAGAACCGTGCTGAGTTCTTCGAAGGTTAGGCGCGCGTTTGTAATAGAACGATTTAATAGTCCCTTCGCACTCTTCACGGCAGCCTCCCATAGTCCTCCGAAATGTGGAGCCCTGGGGGTATAAATCGAAAGTTTATAAATTCGTTTGAGCAAAAGGATGAAATATCTGATTTAGTTTCGGTTTTAAACAAAAAATCGTGGAGAGCCTTTAGTTTGTTACAAACCCCAACAAAATGTGTGGCATTGTCACAAAATATATCGGTTGGTAGTCCGCGTCTTCCAATCATGCGTTTTAGGGCCGCTATAAATGCCTCCGTTGAAAGGTCCGAAACCAACTCGATATGGACGGCCTTTGACGCAAAGCATACGAATATGCATATATAACCCTTTGTTGGGCCCTTTCCTCTTATGCGCATGTATATGTTGACTGGTCCAGCAAAGTCAACACCGTATCGTGCAAATGGTCTTGAAACTGTTAGACGCTCTACCGGAAGATTTCCCATAATTTGTCGCTGCAGCTGTGGCTTATACGAAGGCAACGAAGATGAGAGCTAGTGTTTTCGACTAGGTTGAGCAAGGGATTGTCATATATTTTTGCCACGAATGCTGCCTTACGCTTCTCACATGAGACTACTTCGGGATCAATCTGACCTCGTTTGTCCTTTGGCCAGTAATCCATTGGTTGTTGTAGATAAGAGGGTCCAGTGAACCAAATTGAGTCGGCTAGTTCTAAGGGGGTGCATCCTCTGGACACCATATCCGCCGGATTAACCTTTGTCGAAACGTATCGCCAAGTGCAATCAGCAGACAGCTCCTGTATCTCGGATACACGGTTTCCTACAAATGTTGATAATGTAGCAGAGTGCTGTCCTAGCCAATATAGAACGATTTGCGAATCAGACCATAGAAATATTTTGTACCGATGATTTGTGAGAATTCCACGGATTCTTGCGATCAGCTTCGCCAAAAGATGTGCCCCTGCCAATTCCAATTTTGGCAAAGACAGTTTTCGTGTCGGAGCCACTCTGCCCTTTGATGTAAGCAATCTCACAACAACCTTGTCATTCGAATCGATCGTTCGTGTGTAGACACAGCAGCCATAGGCACGTATCGAGGCATCGCTAAATCCATGAAGTTCGAATCCTTCCTCGTTTGGCTGTAAGCAATATCGCGGCACTGGGAGCCTTTCAAGTGACGATAATGATTCGATGAAAGATTTCCACCCATGTTCGATGTTTTGTGGAACCGATTCATCCCAGTTCAGCTTCATCAACCATAACTCCTGTAATAAGATCTTTGCTGTTATGATGATTGGCGAAATCAATCCCAGAGGGTCGAAGAGTGATGACGAAATTGATAGTATGGCGCGTTTAGTCACCGAAACGACCCTTTTAGGTGTGAATTCAAACAGAAATACATCATCCCTTTGGTTCGAATTCATACCCAGCGTAGTTGCGACTGCAGTGTCTTCGATGTTCAGAGGTTTCAAATTATGGTCGTCCACGAATTCCTTGTGATTTGAGTGCCATTTCCTTAGAAACCACCCCTGTTCAAAATGTCAGTAACTTCGCGTTTAATTCGCCTAAGTCCGTCTAAGGTATCATGACCACAAAGAAAATCGTCCACATAAAATGATGACTTCAACGCTTCTGAACCAGCCTTATTATTTGCGCCATACAAATCGGCCAGATAGACCATGCTGCGGATGGCAAGATACGACGCTGACGCTGTACCGTAGGTGACGGTGTTCAATTGATACGTTTTTAGCTCCTTTTCTGGTGAGTCTCCCAAAGAATATATTGAAATTTGCGATGTGGCGAATCAATTAAGACCTGTCTAAACATCTTAACAACATCGGCAGTAATGGCATATTTGAAGGTTCAAAAACGAATAAGCAATGTATACAGATCACTCTGTAATGTTGGTCCCACCATAAGTAGGTCATTCTCCAGTAGAAGTCTTGCATGAGGCGTCGAAAACAACTCTCAATTTAGTTGTGGTACTACTTGGTTTGAAAACGCAATGGTGTGGAATATAGAAGTGAGGCTCATCTAACCTGGGTTTAGGAACCAATGTTAAATGATTGAGTTCTTCGTACTCTCGCATAAAGTCCACATACGCAGCCTTGACTTCAGGTGATCCCTTTAAACGACGCTCAAGAGTTTTAAATCTGCGACGAGCTGTGTCGTAGGACTTGCCCAACATTGAAGGACTATCCTTAAACGGCAATTGTGCGACTACTCTACCATTCGACTCCTGATGTACTGTTTTCAGAAAGGCTTGCTCACAACTACGATGTTCGGGGGAGACCCTGTCCACCCTTTCCACTTCATCTAACTGCCAAAGTCTTTCCAGGTTTTTGTTTATTGATTCCTCTAATGTAAGAGTGTAATAGTGCGCTGTTGTCGGGCTGACTCGTTTACAGCGACCAGTGACCACCCATCCAAACAAGGTTTTTTGTAAGGTAGGAAGCCTAGGACCAAGTTTGATTTGTCCGACTGAAATTACGTCGAAAAAGGCTTCAGTTCCTAACAGCAAATCTATTGGACGAGTTTTATAGAATGTATCGTCTGCTAGTGGAGTATTTCGAGGCCAGTTCCAAGATGAGGTGTAAATATCGGCATCTGGCTGATATGCGATATGCTTCGTGACACAAAATTCAAGCGAAAGTTCAAAATCGTTAAGCCGAGACTTAATTGCTGTTGTTGCCAGTTGTCTTATCCGAGTTTGGCTGTCCCCGATGCTACAGATATTTATATTGCTGTTACTCCGTGGTAACCGAAGGGCTTGAGCGAAATTATCAGAGAGAAAGTTAACTTGCGAGCATGAATCAAGTAATGCTCGACCAACTCTATAACTACCGTTTGCATCCCTTACCAAGACCATGGCCGTGGCCAAGATGACTTGGTCTTGTGAATAGCCTATATGAGTTTGAGAAACAACGTCAACACTGGCTGGTGGTTCCGAGCGGGTTTGCTGAGCTAAATTTGTACTCTCACGATGAAGCAGAGTGTGATGTGATCGAGAGCACAAACGACATTTCTGGCTAGAAGGACACTTGGACAGATGATGTCCCTTGCCTAAGCAGTTTAGACAGAGAAATTGTCCTTTAGCTACCTCATACCGCTGCAGGGCTGTAAGAGCTTTGAATTGAGGGCAGGTAAATATTTTATGATTAACATCGGAACAATAGAGGCAGGTTTGAGTAGTACAATTGA